AAAAAAGACAAAAAAAAAAAAAAAAAAAAAAAAAAAAAAAAAAAAAAAAACCCTCAGAGATCAAATGGATTCTCCCTAAGGGGAAAGAGGCTCAACCATCAGCTGCTCAGCCAACTCTTCACCCTAGTCAACAACTCTGAAAGAGATGCAACGAAAGGTTTATGGGCTGGAAGCAGCAAATGACCTTAAACAGACCTACAGGCAGCTCAAGGGAGCTAGGATCACTTTGCTTCAACCTCCCACCGCTTGCTTGTAAGGATATATAAGCCAGCTCTTCTCTTGACTCCAAGCACTCTGAATTCCCATAAGGAAGTATCACTTTTCAGAGAAGAAAATCAAACACATTTTCCTGGACATCCAATGATGGGAGGTGGGAGAGAGTCGGGTCACAAGGGTCACGGGGCCTTTTACCCAGCACAACAGAACGGGATTGAAGGTGTGAAACTAAAAAAAACTCCAAACGGTTGTGCTGAGCCGAGGGATGGACACACCTCCACTATGCGGACAGCAAGGTTTCACCTCTGGCTTGCAAACTGTCTTAGAAATGAATAACTTTGCAGTTATCAAAAAAGCCCAGTGTGACTTGTGCAACCACACTCTAAACGAAACACTGAAAAACAGAGTCCCGAAGTTCTAGAATCATCAGTGGAGGAGCTGCCTAGTGGATACCACATTGATGTCTTTGGCTGAATCTTTGTGAATGCCAGGATGTTTTAAACACAATTAATTGCAATAGCAAAGCTTATTAAGGTACCAAGGCCAAAATCAATGTATTAATGGCACAGCATTCCTGTGCTTAACCAGGCGATGGTAAAATGCACATAGACGGGCTGGCAATAGAAGCTGTGAATTCTACTTATGTTGTGCTAGGAGAAATATTAGACTTGGTTCAAATCATTGCTCCCAGTTCAGAGAATACCACTCAAGAAGTCCGGAAAAGGATCCCTACTGGCCACCATAAACACATGCCATGTTAAAACCCATGGCTCCCACAATGTGGATTACTGAATGCTATGGACCTGGACATTGAAAAACAAAAGTTTCCTATGGTAAACTGGTTTTAGCAATAAATTAAGATGTCAAGCTTAACTGTGCCTTTTACCTAACACTTGGATGAGACTTAACATTGCCCTTTGCGATTCACGTGGGCATTTGACACAATGTTGACAGAACGGACAGAATACAGAATTGTCCCCCGCCACAACGTGGAAACCTAGATGGCCGTAATACCAGCAACACTGCACTGACATGTGACATCACTACTGTTTGAAAAGTGAATTCGGCACCACCGTGGCTTTAACCGTGTACAGACATCAGTAGCTGCCACTTGGCAATGGGACACTGAGCATACATTACTGATCCTCACAAAGAAATACGGATCTAGGCAGATGAGCTCAGCTGAGAAAGAATGTCACAGACATGCTGCGACACCAAGATTTCTAATAAAATAGGTTCAAACAATGGCTCTGACATCATAGAGTCGAGCTGACTTCAACTCTGAACAAACACGGCGTCCTACCTGTTAGCTAAACTATGCATATATTTTCAAAATATTCTGACATTTCTCTAGAGAGAACCCTACAGGGCACACACCATGGTTGAAAATACAGACACTAAAAGACACATTATCTTTCAATATATACAGTCAGCTGTTGCTTTAGCAAGTTGTGAAGGCAGATTACAGGTATCATTCCCGTTTTCAAAGGCCAGAAACACGTAACTTTAGGGATAGGCTGGTAAACTCAAGTGCTGGCCCGGACTATATCAGGGATAGCGCTGGACCAAATTACAAAGTTTTTAAAGCATGGAATTCAGTTCCAACTTTAGCTTGTATCCTCCGGCCGAGTTGTTCAAACAAATGCTATCGTGTAAGAAAGGGCGCACAGATGTGCTGTATTAGGCCGAGAATGAAACTAAGTCAACTCCTGATACTGAGTTCAAAATAATTGGTCCTTTCCAAAGAAGTATTGCGGTACATTTTACAGATAAAGATGCTCAGTGTGCCATAGGTAGGTGCAAGCACCACGGAGGGGATAAGTAGACCTTGCGGCTCCTCAGCCTGATGGGCATCACCAGCCTTCTCCTGCATCCTGAATCCTCAGCCACACACAGTTCTCAGTCCCCTACCAATGGGTTTTCAAATCGGAGGGAGAAACATCAGACTAGATTACGAACCGGGGTATCACCATAGAATGAATGACTGTGGCTTTAGTAAATATTAAAAAAAAAAAAAAAAGGGAAACCGCCTTCACCTAGAAAAGGAGTAACATCACCCAGAAGAAAGAAACCTAGAGTGCTCCATCCAAACTGTTGATTTCATGTGCTCACCGGGCAGAAAGCTCTGGAAAGTTGACGGTAGTGCTCTTTTAACTTAGAGATGCTTTTCTTTTCTTTCTTTTTCTCAAGCTGGTCTTAAAATGTTAGTGTAAACAATTGACTTGAAAATCAAGCACTGTGTCTCAATTCTCTCCTCATTCAATGTCTATCATCGAATTTTTAAAAAGCTGCAGTGTCCAGCTGTGTAAATGTACTTTCTTGGTCTCCCGGCACCAGAAATGCTCTAAGTTCCGCAAGGCCCCTCCATCTAACTGACATCTGCCTCCGGAAAGGCAAGGGTTCTGAGAAAGGCCACAGGCTCTTCAGACAAGCCCAGCCTTGGGCAGGCTTTGCTGGGGCCATACCCACCCTACGCTCCCATTGGGATGCTGGAATTGTCAAAGACTGGGAATCCAGCCCCTGGACTCAGCTGTTCACTGATCGGGCTCAGCTATGCCAGGCCTGCACACTCCACTCTGCTGTCATTTCCTTCCACCCGAGTCCTAGAGCGTTGTCACCATCAGCAGAACAGCAAAATTAGAAAGGACTCTTGCTTACATTAAAAAACCAAAACAGGTTATCCTATGCCTTTGGCATTGGCAGACGCGTTGGCAGAAAACACTGTTGTACATTGGGGGGAGGGGGTGCATGCGCACTCGCCAACCGGAAGGCCACAGCCCAAGCCCTACTTTCAGGGCTGCCTTTCTCAGTCTCAAACACTGTGACGATCACCCAGGAAACTTAGCTTTATAATCCGCTACCCAGATGAATAAAACCTTGTGTTCATGAGAAATAAAATGCCAAACCTGCTGGGAGAGGGAACGCAGGTGACCTCGGAATCGGGAGAAAGGACTGTTGAGTTCCTGCTTGGAGTGTATTTGTCACAAGACATCCAACAGAAAGAAAAGAAATACATGTCTCTGCTTCTCCATCAAGCTGGGACAAACTGTAACATTTCTAGGGACAGGAAGATCCGAGGCTAAAGCTACCATCCATTAGGGTACACACGGCTTTGCCTTGCCATCCCGTCTAGTCCTAGAGAATTATTCAACGGGCAATTAAGATTTATAATCCAAATGGTCTCAAAATCATATCTCTGAGAAGTCAAGTCCAAATTAAATCAGCCAGGCTTTTAGGTTCCCATGATCACATTTTCTCTTTTGAGCGAGTGCTTTTCGACACTCAGAACTTCTCCTCTTTCGGCGCATCCTCAGAGCGTCCCTGCAAGCAATCACCCCAGCAAAATCAGATAGATGATCCCAAAAGGGGAAGTGGTCCAACCCCAAAGCTTAGGAAAAGGCGTCAAGGAAGAGAGCCTCACTTCCTTCCACTGGTTTCTGAAAGTCCATGATTTTAGCCTCCTTTCTGGTAAATATTACTGAAACTCACACAGCACACACAGTATTTGACCAAACAAGAATGCTCCACTATAATTCTCATGTATGGACAGCCAGACACACACCCTTCAGAACTTTGCAATGAGATGCACGTGGAGACAGAATATACATGCATTTATGGTTATATTTCTCTCTATATGGAATCTTAGTGTCGCTCTTCACCAGCTGGTATAAACCAGTGAACCGGACAGGTAACTGACAAATGCTCTCCCTGTGGTCTCTCGTCTCACAATGCTTGGGAAGGCATCCACACCGGGGGGTATATACCTGCCTAAGCCCTGAAGTGGAGGACAGAAAGAAGAAAAAGTACACGGAACTCACATTTCAGTGATGTTCTCCGGGTCGACACTGTTAGGTTCCAACCTTGGAAACGCCACGATGCCAGGAGAAGGCTCCGTACACCAGATCCTAGAGGCACTGCATTTGCAGGACATGGGGCAGGCGAGAGAGGCCCTCCAGAAGCCCACAGCCAGCCAACATAAGCCCCAGAGCCGCGCCATGGCGGGTCCATGCCACCTCGGCCAGGGCGACATCCCTCGCCGCCAGTGCCAATCAGTCCGGAGTGCTTGTCCCTACGCTGAGCCTGGCGTCCCCCGCCAGAGGGGGGAGGCCTTTCCTGCGCCCTCTTGCTGCTCGGTGCCGGTGGCCTCCCGTGGAGTGGAGTGTACCAGAGATTGAGCCTGTCTGGGCTGAGCAGGTTGGCGCAGGCCAAAGGGTTCACAGTGGCCGGGACATCGCGGGCCGCTGCTCCAAGCCACAGGGCGGCTGCATGGTCCTACACGCCAGGCACCACACGGTGGATCTCCCTGGACTCTTTGGGTCGTAGAACCGCTAAACCGGCACGGATATCGGTGCGCACCTCAGGGCTGGAGGACAAACAGACAGGGATGAGACCAAGCTTAGTGATTACACACCACCAACTGGGACACAGTCCCTTGGCGCTCTCCACACCCCCACCATACCCAAACCTGTAGAATGGATGTCTGAGTGCCCAGCTCCCGCCCCGGAATCAACTTGCCCCGCGGTGGCCCCCCAGTGTGCCCGCCCTCCCTCCAAGCCTGAAGCCGAGGCAGGAGAGGTCCGGAAAGGGTCTTTGAGAGCAGATCCCATGGCACAGGCCAAGCCAAGGACCCTCTAAAGAGGACTCGGAGCCTGCAGCGGCGACGGGGCCCCAATGATGCTGCAGAATCCTCCCCGGCCGCTGGGCGCGGGGAGGGGGGGGGGAGCGGGCAGGTGGCGCGGCACGTCCCACCTGGGGAGCAACTGCGGCAGAGGGACAGTGCCGGCCGAGGCCACGGAGGACTGTCCGTGAGGCTCACCCGGCCTCCGGCCCCAAGCGCAGGGATCAGAGCGCAGCAGCAACAGCAGCAGCAGCAGCAGCAGCAGCAACTGGGCTCTAACCCGCTGCCGCCGCCGCCTCTGCTACTGCTGGCGAAGTGACGTGAAGGCTGACGCAGAGCAGGGGCAGAAACTCCAGAAAATTAGTATGGAATCCAAAAACACACACGCACGCACACACACACACACACACACACTCACACACACGAATAGCATAGCACCCTCCAGACAAAAGCAAGGCGGAGGGGAGGGAATCTGGGGGCGAGCAGGGAGGAGGAGGCTTGGTGCCAGCGGCTAGGCGCAGACAGCAGCATGTGGGAGTTCACACTCGCGCGCACGCACACACCTTGGCGGGATAGTTGTGCGGGTGTGCATGTGTGCGCGTGTGCGTGCGTGCATGCGTATGTGTGTTGTGTATGGAGTGTGTGTGTGTGTGTGTGTGTGTGTGTGTCCCTTTAGACCCAGGTACCTCTGAAATGCAGCGTTGCGCCGCTGGATGCTTCCTTGATCCCTAATTCTTACATCTCTTCCATACCGCAGTAGAGGCTAGCTCCCGGTTTTTGAAATGGAAGCCAGTCTTGGTTAGGCTCTGAAAAATGCGCTGATTCTTATTGTAGGAATCCTGCCTTTCCCTCTCCCTCCCCGCTGCGTTCTCCTTTCCCACCCTGCTCAAAAGGGAAAGCAAGCTAGTCCCAAAATATAGAAAAGGCAAGCTACACCCCCCACACGAAAATAAATATATAATGAGGTGCGTTGGCAACCAAGGACCGGTGCCCGGTTCCGGACCACCTATTTAGGGGTGGGTGGTTCCAAAGCTCTCCCTGACGGGATTTTTGCCTAAAGAACGGAGCCTGCAGACACAAGTGTAGCTCTGACGGGCCTTTCTCCAGCCATTTGCGCCATAGAAAGAGCCCAGCGTGGGGAAGGGAGCGCGCCTGCCGTGCAGTGGGTTCCCTAAATGCTCTGCACCGACCCTGGCCTGTGGAGTGGGCGGCTCCGCGTCATCTTCTCTTATTCCTTAACCTGGCAAGATGCAGCCATTCGAAGATCACAGCTTCATTCCCCACGACACCCACCCCCACGCGGGGCACCCAAGCCCCAGTCCCCTGCCCGGCCGTACCTTGCGCGTGTTCATGTGCGCGCGCGCATGTGCGCGAACGTGTACCCTGAGCCCGCGCTGCCCCCAGCAGGATGTGCTTCCAGCTATCAAGAGGCCGGGCTCTGGCAGCGCCCAGGAGTCTCACTGGGGACACATGAGGCGGTTCCGGAGGGTCGAGTGACAAACCGTAACTGCTGTGCTGGTGCAATTAAATGACCGCTATGGGCCATTCGCAAGCCAGGTCTGAGCCTCTTCTCACCATTTGCGGCTCTGACTGCCTGCATATCCGCAGTCATTTAAAAGGGAATCCGGTAGATGCGCCGCAGTGCCTGACACTTCCGAGGGCTCTGGTGCCCCCGCGCGGGGAGAAGAAGCCCAGCACACTCAGATGCAAAGGCCCAGTACCACCATCCCCATGCCATGCTCTCACCAGGAACTGCGCTGCAGGCGCGCTCCAGCACCAGATGCGCAACTGCCGCGCTGAGTGCACGTTACTGTCCAGATAGTGCGCCTCTCACCCGACTCAATTCCTGCCTCGGAAGTCCTCCACGCAACAAAAGACTATGTGCTGGAGTCCAGTTCAAGACATGAGAATGGTCACCTATCTGCCAGCAAAGACCAGGAATGAGACGGATGGAGGAACCAGAGAAGTCAGGGTAAATGTTTGGGTCTCTGCACACTCTTAAGACCACTAGGAAATTAAATCCATCTAGAAGGGTTTTTCTTCTAGATGCTACGACACTTAAATGCCTGGCCGAAGCCTGGAGCAAAAGCCAGCAAGTCACCTCACCCCTTCACTGAGCCCTGATACATGTGGAGGTTGCACCACCGAGCTTCAGGTCACTACGCAGTTCTGCCTGCGACCCTTGCTGTGGCACAGAAACTGAAGGAAGGCAGAAACGTCTTTGCCCAGCAGACACAGTGAAACCCTGCCCTGTACTGTCAATGTCCTTTTGGGAAGGTGTGTGTGTGTGTGTGTGTGTGTGTGTGTGTGTGTGTGTACATATATACACTTGTATATATATATATTATACATATGAGTATATACACACATACATATACAAATGTGGGCTAGCCGACCATGGCACAGTCGGAGGAAAACTTGTAGAAGTCTGTTCTCTCCTTCCTTGTCTGTCCTGGGATCAAACACAGCAGATCAGACTGGGTTACTCACTGAGCCATCCTAACTTCCCATTGCCCACGCCTTTGGGTTGGAGATGCCCTACGGCGTTGTGGACAGGAAGGAGCAGCCCCTCCCTGTCTCGGGCCTATCTCACTCCTGCTTTTCTCAGACAACTCCCGTAGTGATGCCCCCTAGCGACTGCAGTACTGATGCAGCACCCAAGGGTCTCCGTGTTCATGTGGTTTATAGACAGAAGGGCTCTAATGAATGTTGGGATATCCGCAGATTCGTAGACCACATGTGCAGTACTGCTACACTGGGTATGTAAGACTCTCCCGCTTAAATTAGAATGGGCGGCCAGCTTCCTGCCCGTGTCCCCTGTACCACCGTCTTGGTGCGAAGTGCTCTGTCCTTGAAACAGATTTATGGAAACTGCTTAGAGGTGGGGATGCTATCATTTTTATTCATTGTCCTAGCTCCAGATCACAGTGGGGGTGTGCTTAATGTGTGCTTAATGGCAAACAAAATAAACTGAGTTTGAAACATGCCTTACCTAACCTCTAACGTAGTCAGCCATCCGCGTTAAGCCTTCCTGGACATTGTCCCTCTTGCCCTGTAGTCCTGTGCTCTGAGTTTCCATAGTCCTTCTAAAAATCTTACTCTCTGCCTCCTCTAGTAACCAGACATGTTCTTCACTGGGTCAGGAAGGGCCCCTCCTCCATTCACCATGGTGGCTTAACACACCATAGACAATATCAGGACACACGGATAACTGATAACTCTATTTTAGCTTACAGACTTAAAAATCTATATCAACTCTGAGACCTGAAAGCTCTTACACAGAGACCATTCCAAGGAGCCCCCAGACCTTGGCTTTTGAGGACATAATAAACATTTTAGGTGGATCACGTGACATAAAGATTGTTTCCCTTGGGCTCCTTCAGTGAAGAGACAGGTTGGTGCGGATCCTGCCTGCGCTGAACTATGGTGTCTTCCCACATCTGTTCAGACACAGATGGTGAGCTAGGGTAGAAATGCAGGTTCATCACAACCCAGTGCAGTCCATACAAACAGCGTGCCTTTAAAGTCACACACACACACACACACACACAACTTGCCCTGAGTACATGAAAAGTTACATAAAATAAACATACTTTTTCTTTTCTGACATTTTGTTTTATAGTACTTATAATAATCTAGTAAATTGATTCTAACATCAAATACTAGATTGTAAAAGTCACGAAGTGCTACCAACTTGTGTTTCTGACTGAGGATCAAACTCCAAATCAAACAACTAACTAAATATATGTATAAAATAACTTTTGTTTTTAAGACAATGGACACCAGACAACAAAATGAAGGCTACAGCAAAGCCTAACTCCCTTAATTTAGGAGACGAAACTCGGAGTCAAGGGAAATTAAGGAAAGCATAGCATTCGGGATGGAGCAGATGTGTGGAAAGCCAAGAAATCTCAATCCTGATTAGCATTTTCAGAGGATGGAGCTACTTGTCATGGGGTTGGGGGGAGAAACCCTGCACAGATGGAAGGGAACTGTGTTGATGAAAAGAATCAAGAGGCGAGACTTGGAAGGGAGCTGCTAAACCTCCTAATAGAAAGAATGCTAGATACTGTACTCTAAAACCGCAAAAAGAACAAATGTCTCTAATCAGAGGCGTTGACTGTGAGCTTGCTCCTTAAGGTGGAGGTGTTGATAAACTCTGGAGAGGAGACCTGGAGCTATGGCTCACAGAGGACCTGGTTTAGTTCTCAGCATCCACTGGGTAGAGGAGAGCTGCCTGCAACTCCAGTGCCGGGGTTCTGATGCCCTCTTCTGGACGCCTGGGGCACTGCATTGCAAGGTGCTTATGTACTCTCCAGGCAAACACTCCTATAAAATAAATCATTATTCGTTAAAAGAGAAAGAAACAAAATACCAATGATAGCAAGCATGACAACAATGTCCAGATGATTGATAACTGAAACCTGTGGGTTTACTGTGAGCAACTCTATGCAAAAACTTTGATGACATAAATAAAAGACAGGAGCCAACAATGCTCTCTCTACAGGAAATGGAGGAGTCCCAGATTTTACACTGATATGAATTTATCTTTTAAAATCTTCCTACGTGGGAGTGCTGAGATGCTTGCTCTGCAGGCATGAGCACCTGGGTTCAAATCCCAGCACCCATGTAAATGGCTGTGCATGGCTGCAACCCCAGAACTGGGAGTAGAGATGGACAGGTCCCAAGAGCTCATTTGTCAGTCTAGACAAGAAAACAAGCTTCCTGCTCAATTAAGATCCTGTATCAAAGCAATAATCCAGAGAGTGACAGAGGAATACACCCAGTATCCTGCCCTGGCTTTGTGTTTGTGCACAGCTACTCCCCAACACATGCATCACCACCACCACCCCATTGTGCATGTGTGCATGCATGCGTGTACACGCGCGCGCACACACAACTTCACACAAAGAAAATTCTAGGCCCAGATAATTTCACTAGTGAATTCTACAAAACGAGGAAAGTGACATCAAAAACTACCTACTTCCTTCTAGAGTATGAAGAGAGAAGGACACTTTCCTGCACCTTCTATGAAGTTGGCATGACTGTGACATTCAAATCGCAGCAGTCGTGCTGACTTCCAGTCTCACTAAGAATTCTCCTGTCTCCGGCTTTGCTGCCGTGCTAGTCTTTCTTGTTGCTTTGTTTTATTAAAGACTGATGTAAGAATGTCTTACTTTTCAGTTGCTATGCCAAAACCCCATAGAGGAAAGACTCAGAGTCTGCAGTTGTCACCCAGATGCAGAGAAAGTAAGATGAGGATGACTCCCTAATAAAAAGATACCAAGCCACATGGCTAACACAGAAAAAAAAATGGGCTAATTTAAGATGTAAGAGTTAGTTAATAAGAAGCCTGAGCTAATAGGCCAACCAGTTTATAGTTAATGCAGACCTCTGTGTGTTTCTTCGGGAATAAAGGGCTGAGGGACCAGAGGGGACAGAAATGTCTGTCTACACACCACGACCAAAGAAACTTAAAACAAAAAAGTTTTTGATTTGAGGTTCATAGTTCCAGAGGGTCAAAGTCCATAACAATCATGGCACAGAGTGTGACAGCAGGCAGGTAGGCACTGGAGCAGTAGATGAGAGCTCACATCTCAATCCACAACCACGAGGCAGAGGGAGCTAACAGCCAATGATGCGGGCTTTGGGAACCTTAAAGCCTACCTACAGTGACACACCTCCTTCACCAAGGCCACACCTCCCAATCCTTCCCAAATAGATCCACCAACTGTGTACCAAGCATTCCACTATATGAGTGGATGGGGGCCATTCTCATCCAAACCACTGTAGATGGCATCTCATCTCATTTTTATTTAAATGTATGTATTAAATCAAGCATGTGTGATATTGAATATCTTTTAAATATTCTATTTGTATGCTTCCCCCGCCTCCTCCCCTCCTCCTCTTCTGCTGCTGCTGCTGTTTGGTTTGTGTGTGATGCTTGGGATTGAGCCCAGGACTTTGTATCTGCTAGTTTAGTGTTCTACCAACTGAGCTACATTTACAGCCCTGTAATCTCTCTTGAGTAGAGTTTATTTGGATATTTTCCCATTTTACAATTAACCTATTTTTTCTGTTGAGGTTTTTTTTTTCAGTTCTTTATATCCACCAAATATAACCTTTTCTTGAATTCATGGTTTCCTGTAATCTAAGTTTATTTTTTTCTCACATTGGTTATTTGTTTTACAGAAGAATTTTAGCTTGATTAATCCCATTTTATTTATTTGTTTTTCAAGCCTATGATTCTATTTCTTCCTTTGGTTCCTGTGATTCATGTAACCGCTTCTCTGAGGCAGGAGGGAAACTATGTTTGATTTTGTAAATATAGTCAAAAACCATGACTAAGGCAGCCATAGCCCCCTGGGAGAAACCCACTGATGTTGTTTTGCTAAGTGGTCATGTTGTCAAACTCCCTTCTAAATATTTATGTTAACACCCAAACTTGATCAGAGGAGCTTCTTACTGCAATGGGTGGTGACCGGTGTGGAGACTCCTAACTGCTCATAGTGTGAAGACTAAGAGACCGCAGTGCTCAGAAATAGACAGGACCTCAAGATCATACATAT